GGAGGGAATCTGCGTTCGGTATCCCTCGCCCGGCCGCCGCACGCACATCTGCTGGCGGTGCGCACGACTACCGCGCCTCGCCGCCGCCCTCGCCATCGCTGCCTTCTCAGGAGATGGGCAGCTCCAGGTCCAGGTCGTCGTCGCAGAGCCAGCCCTCGCAGTACGCGTACGTGAGGAACAGCGGCAGCCGGCTGGCCAACTCGGTCACCGACGCCGACGTGGGCTATGACGACGACGAGGCCGATGCACGCCAGGACGGATTCGGCGATGCGGACCGGGACGACGACGACGACGGCGACGACGGCCCGTACGGCGGAACGGGCAGCCTGCGGGTGGAGCAGACCATCAACGAGATCCTCAGCAGCGATGCCGAGCGGAGCGTCGCGGCGCTCAAGGACGTCCACCAGTTCCTGGAGCAGGGCGAGCCCTCGATGGTGTCGCACGCCGACCAGCTGGGCAACGTGCTGGCCAAGCAGGCGCACCGCGCATTCTCGATGGCCGACAGCGACGCCGGCAACGAGCGGCTCATCAAGCATATCCTGTTTGACCTGCTCAGCATGTTTGACAAGGAGCTGGTGTGGGACGAGGGCCGGCCGCTCGGGTCGTACCTGGGCAAGCAGACGCTGGTGCCGCTGCTGACCGAGCTGCTGCAGCAGCTGATCGAGGAGAGCGCCAAGCCGCCGGGCGACGAGCGGGCGCAGACGCTGGCCAAGTACCTCAACAACGTCGTGCTCAAGTGCTTCTCGGCGTGCGACCTCAACGCCCTGTACGGCGCGTGCCTCTCGATGCTGACCGAGGCGACCGAGGACATGCGCGAGCTGTCGGGCGCGGTGCTCGACACGCGCGTCAAGTTTGCCGAGCTGACGATGAAGTGCCTCTGGAAGATTGCCAAGCGCCTTCCGTCGTGCCTGGCCGAGCAGCAGATTGACCCGGCGCAGCTCATCGCCGACATCGAAGAGTTTATGAAGGTCATCACGCCCAACGAGTGGAAGCGGCGCGCGGCCGATGGCGTCCCGATGGGCGACATGCCGCTCAAGACGATGAAGGTCATCCTCACTCACATCACGTCGACCTTTGGCGAAGAGTCGCTGTCGATGCTCGAGCTGCTCGAGAGCCCCGAGTCGAGCCACGTCTACAGCTACCTCATGCGGCTGCTCAACCAGCACGGCGCCGGGCCCGCCGACCGCGGCGCTGCACAGCCATCCCCCGAGGCGGGCGAGTCGGAGAGGGCGGCGGCACGACCGGCGCGATCACGAGCGTCGGTGGACGGCAACGGCAACGGCAACGGCAACGGCGCGTCCTATGCGGCGCCGTCGGCCAATAGCGCACCAGGCTCGCCGCGAGCCTCGGCAAATGGCGACGGCGGCGTGGGCCACGGCAACGGCCAGGGCAACGGCGCTCCGAGGGTCGTCTCAACCGACGTCGAGGATCCGGCCACGGCCGAGCTGCGCGCCATCTTTGAGCGCATCTCACACAAGGAGCAGTCGAGGATCGCCATCCGGCAGCTGTACGAGTTCCAGAAGAAGTACCCGCACAAGGAGCCCAGCATCCAGCGCGCGCTGCAGAACACGGGGCCCATCTTCCAGCGGTGAGTGGACGGACGCGTTGCGGCAGGCGGACAGCGGGGTGCAGACGCGGTGCCGGCCGACGATGCTGATCCGAGGTCGACCTCTTTGTGGCCGGTATCTCACAGCTACGTCAAGCGGGCGTTGGCGAACCATGCCGCGGATGACCTCGAGGCCTCGAGCGCGGTGGCCTCGCCGCAGCTGGGCGAGACTGAGCGTGAGTGGTAGTGACGACGGGCGGCGCGCGCTCCTCTGTGTCGACGCCAGCGGTCGCTGACTCGATCTGTCCAACACGATCTCGTCTCCACCTCGCCGTCCGACCAGGTCCGGAATCCGGCACGTTTACCTCGTCGGCACGGACCTCGCTGCGGTCGAGCCTCAACATGGATGCGGGCGCGGGCGCCGCCTCGACTGCGGCCGTCACGCCGTCGCTGCCGACGTCGGCGTCGTTTGCGCGGCACAGCCCGAGCTCGAGCATCAGCGCGAGCACGAGCACGACGTCGCCAAAGGGCAGCAGCCACCTGCGTTCGTCGACGCACGACGACCGGCTGGCCGAGCTGCGCGCCAAGTTTGCAAAGACGTCGACGGGCTCCTCGATCTCGTCGTCGTCGTCGTCGGTCTCGACCAGCCGGGCCGATATGACCGCCGCCGGCGGCGGTGGCGGTGGCGGCGGCGGTGGGGCGGCCGAGGTCGATTGAGCGCCTCTTGCTGCTCGTTGTGCCGACCTGCAGTCGTTTCCCCTCCTTCGTTTGACTTCCTCGTTCCCTGTCCCCCCCGTCTCTCTGCACACGGCCTCGTCCTGGCTTTCTTGTTTCTCTGCCCTGCGCGCTTGGTTCTCTGTATTGCGAAAAGCAAGAATGTGATCCTCGTTCCTCGAGAGCTCTTCGGGCCTCGTCGTGCCGAGTCGTGCGTGCGCTCCTCGGACACTAGGGAGAGGAGAGGTGAGGTAGGGAGCGTGGTTGGCCCGCGGAGGCTGCCGGATTCGACCAGCGCGGTATCGGATCCGCGAAGCTGGCCTGCCTGCCCCCTGACCGCTGCCCAGAGTGGAGTGGAGGAGACCTGACCTGACCTGGCGTGGATCGCGTCGCGTTGATGAGGGCGCCGTCGAAGTCGGCATTTTCGATTTTGGGCGAGCGGGGCGGAGGCGGGTGCGAACCCTGGCCAGACTCACACTGGGCCGGCTGACGGGCAAGACGAGAAAGAGAGAGAGAGCTGAGGGCTTAGACGTCGAGGGGGCGCGACACGCACCTCTGAGAGGAAGCCGCCGCCTGCAAGCTGGCTGCTCGCGCGTGTTGCGTTGCGTGGTGCGTTGCTCAGGTCTGCTCGCAGGGCCTGGCCACCACCTGTCTCTCTTCCACCTTCGCCCCTCCATCGTCCTGTTCCCGGCCACGTCGACCTGGATCCCCATTTCAGACCGCCTTGCCATCACCCGCCCAGCGTATTCGCCTACCCCTTCCGTATACCCCTCATCCGTCCAGCCAGTGGCGGCATCTCGGCACCCGCGGCATCGATCCAGCCAGGCCAAGCCGCTGCCTTATCTAGACAAGACCGGACCCGGCTCCGGATCCCCTCGCCGCCTTGACCGTCTCGTAGACCACCACCATCGCAACACACGGAAGCGCCGTTTCCTGCCAACTCGCCACTGATCCACGCCACGCCAAGATGGACGTCGAACCCCAACCTGCCGTCGCCCAGCCTGCGCTCCTCGAGCCCATCCAAGCCCCGCACCGGCTAGCCAAGCGCACCTACGGCCGCAAGCCCCTCGCCGATGCGGAGCCGATCGAAGAGATGCGGGCACAGGAGCCCTCCGCATCCAGCTCTTCGCTCTCGTCCCTGCCCTCGTCGCCCGTCCTGCAGCTCTTCGACCGCCCCATGAGGAAACCCGCCGCGGCTGGAGACGACCCAAACTCGGACCACCAGAGCAAGGACGACACCGCCGACAACACCGACGTCTCGCCAGAGCAGAGGGGCCTCGCCAAGTTCGGCCGCGCCTCGCCACCACCACCCCGCAAGCGCACCCTTCAGCGCATCGCATCGACCGCCTCGGCATCCTCGTCCGGCAGCGCACCCGCCTACGCGCTGCCAGAGATCGGCGCCGCTAGACGCATCATGGCAGAGAGCGACGACGACGACGACGACGACGACAACGACGAGGATGACGAGGCTGTCCTCGCCAGAGTGAGGGGCGCCGCTGCTGTCCGATCGACGCAGGGCACAAAGGCGTCAAAGGCTGCGTCGCCGCACTCTGACCTCTTCTCCGGATCCCTGTCCAGCGCGCCGCCAACTTCATCGCAGCCAGCGGGCACGCAGTCGCGGTCAGAGCGTCGAGATGATGCGGCATCGGACGATGCTTCAGATACCGCCGGCGATCGGACCGTGCGCAGGAGCGAGTCCCCCGGCGTCGAGCGGCACAGCGACCAATCCGACGTCGACGACGACGACGACGACGAAGATGCTGCGGTGCAGAGGCGGCTCAGCAACCCTACACGTAGACGCGGCGCCAAGGTCTCTGCGATGAAGGGCAGAGGAGGCAAGCACGCGGCCATCGCATCGTCCGACTCGGAAGGCGAGGCTTCCGTCCGACCGCGCAAGCCGAAGACGTTCAAGCTGGTCTCGTCATCGTCGGTCGACGAGACCGGAGCAGGCGACACGAGGGGCTCCTCCTCGTCGGCTGCCAAGAGCCGGAAGGAGAAGATGGAGGCGCTCGCGGCCGCCAAGCGCAAGGATGCCGGCGCCTTCGAGCTGTACGGAGACGCCGACGACGGCCTTCCGGGCCTCGATCCGTCCGCGCCGCGGTCGCGCTCGCGCTCGCTTTCCATCAAGGACGACGGTCTTGATCCTCGTCGGGATCGAGCTAGCAAGCCGGCATCGAACAAGCACCTGGAGCTGGCACAGGAAACCGAAGACCTGCGGGCGGAACTGGACTCTGACGCCGCGCTGGCGCCCCGAAAGGCACGCAGCAAGTCCTCGAAGCCCAAAAAGGCCAAACTGACCGGTCCCAAGGTGAGCAGTCCGGCGTCCGGCCGACGCCGTGCAGCCGCGTTTCGTGGCCATCGCTGACCTCTTGCCACCTGCCCTCTATCCGCCCTGATCGCCTCAGCCGCTGAGCAAAAAGGAGCAGGAGAACATGTTTCGGGAAACCGAGCGTCTGAAGCGAGAGCACCGAGCCCGCCTCGCGCCGGTGGAGAAGAAGCAGATCACTCTGACCGACCTGCTCTCCAAGATCAACGCCGGCGACCAGAAGAGCTCGGCGAGGTCTGCGGACGCCTCGTCCTCGCAGCATCCACGCCGGCCCGGCGATGACGGGCCCAACCACGCCTCCGACCCCATCGAGTCGGATCCCATCCGCGACCACGAGAGGTCGAGCCCAGCGAGCAGTCCGATTGCCGGTCTTGGAGGCGGCGGCGCTATGTCTGCGCATCCGCGTCGCCTCGGCCCTCTTGTCCAACGACGGCCGGGCCCAGATGCCTTGAGCCTTCAGCCTGTCTCGCAGGCCGAAGCCGAGGCGCTGGCGCCGGGGGAGGCCCCGGACGCAAATGGTCAGCGTGCCCCCGAGGGCGAGGGCATCGAGCCTCGACGTGATGCCAACGGTACCGAAGGTGACGGCGATCCCGGACATCCAGACTCGTCCGACGAAGACGACATGGCGCTGCCGCCCGACGCCGATCAGTTCAGGTCCAAATTCGTCGCTCAAAGCGAGCAGAATGCCAAGCTAAAGGCTCTCAAGGAAATGAAGCTGAGGCTCCTCGCTGCACAGGGGCACGGGACGTCGACAGCAGGCACCGGCGCAACCAAGGCAGGCCCGAGTGGCGACAACGATGGCGACGACGACGACGATGACCTGGAGATCGAGCGCGGCGGCGAGCAAGAGAAAGGTCCGGCAAGCGAGCGCAGCCGTCCGACGACACCGGGGCGTCGGAGGCCCGCCGATGCCATCCTGCGCGAGGTCGGCATCAAGCCCACTCGTACGCCGAGGCAGAGCAAGACAGGCACCAACGCCTTCGGGTCCCCGGGCATGGCTCTCGACGACAGTCCTGGCGGCGACGGCGACGACATGGATGTCGAGGACCTCGTCACCGATAGCCAGCTTCGGCGAGCCAGCAAAGCTTTCGCAGCATCGAGCGGCAGCGCCGCAGGAAGGACGCCCGTCCGCGCCAAGGATGGCCGCAAGCGCGCGTCCGGACAGCCCTCGCTGACGCAAGACGAGTTCCGAGCCACGCTGCGCCGCAGGGCACAAGCGCAGAACATGGAAGTGCGCCTCAAGAAGGAAGCGCTGGCGAAAAAGTCGGGCCACTCCAAGAAGAGCAACAACTTCGATGGGCCAGAGGACGCGAGCCGCGCACCCGGCCAAGACGTGCAGGCGATGCTCGAGCAGCTGCAGAGGGCCGAGGCCGAAGGTCGCAGCGGAGCTCGGGCCGACGCCGATGCAGATGACGACGTCGAGGATGAGGACGACCCCGACTTCCTGATGCCCGGCGCCGAGGACGCTGAGGACGCCATCGGCAGCGGCAGCGAGATCGGAGGCGACCGGCCCCTCGGCAGTGGGAGCGAGGTCGAGGACGACGATGCGGATGACGAGGTGCTCGTCAGTGATGATGAGGCACAGCACGATGTCCACGGAGCAGAGCAGGAGGAGGAGGACAGCGAAAAGGAGAATGCACCCCCGGCCTCGAAGGCGGCGACGCCCAGTCGAGCCGGCTTCAGCCAGAGTCCCATCTCCAGCCAACGGCCGAGCCGGGCCGTCATGGACGAGGACGAGGACGATGCGCCCGGTCCAAGACTGCCACGCCGCAGTCGCAAGAGGACCGCCCTCGCCGACGACGACGACGACGACGACGACAACGCTGCTGGTCCAGGAAGCGACGTCGCAGACAGCGATGCAGAGAACCAGCTGCGGCCTGGCCGCCTCGTGGCCGCCACCTCGACGTCTCCGCAGGGCAGCACATCTGCCCACTCCAGCCAGACTCGTGACCGGTTGCAAGCGCAGAGCCAGAGCCAAAGCCAGGAGCGGGTGGTGCTGGGCGACATTTCAGCCGAGTCGCTCGGTCACCTCTCACAGCCTAGCCAGTCCGGCCTGGACCGCCGAGACTCGCTGGCGCAAGGCCTGAACGGCGACGATTCCTACAGGACCGACGACATCTCCGTCGGTGGCTTCACGCAGCTTTTCGCGCCGACTCAAGGCCCTCGAGATGACGCCGCCGCCGCCGATGCCGCTGGTCAGCGGCTGGAGCAGCGAGCGCCGCAGAGACCCGCCGACATTTGGAACATGACGCAGACTCAGACCAGCCAGAGCCAAGGCCCGTCCCAGAGTCCCAGCCTGACGGCCACCCGCTTCGGGGGCTCGACGGCCAGCACGCACCCGGGCATTGCGCGAGACGACTCGGTCAACTCGGCGCTTGGCGCCTTTTTCGAGGACACGCAGTCGCAGATGGCCAGCGAGAGCATGGACATCTTTGCCAACCCCAAGAACAAGGACGGCATGGCCAGAGGCTTCACCCAGTTTTTCGGCAGTACTCCGGTCGAAAACGCCAAGAGGGGCGACAGCCAGGCGCGCGGAGCGGGCCCGGCCGGCACGCTCACGGACGACAGCCAAAGCCAGTCGCAGTGGGACGCCGACCGGTTCTCGATGCCGCCGCCTCGGTCGACGGCCGGCCTGGACGGCTTTGCGGCGCTCCGCAAGGCGCAGATGGGCGAGGCGATGAACCTGACGCCTACGCCGTCGCTTCTCCCTTCGCTCGACGAGTCGCAAGCCGAGCGGGAAGCCGAGGCCGACCAGCTGCGCGAGGTGGAGAGGCGGGGGTCCCACGACGGCGGCAACGGCTCGCCCAAGAAGAAGGTCTACTTCAACAAAGACGGCTTCTTCACGCAGACCAAGCCCTCGACGCAGCAGGCCGCCGAGTGGGGCATGGACAGCCAGAGCCAGACGCAGATCCACACGCCACTCAAGATCCCGTCGAGCTCGGTCGGGGAGCGCACGCCGCTGTCGCCCTCGCTGCGCCGCGGCAACGAGGCTGGACGCTCCGGCTCCTCGTCCGACGACGACGACGATGATGAGGGCGGGGACGCAGGCTCGCAGTCGACCTCGCGCAGGCCCCGCCAGCTCAAGCGCCTTCGCAGGGGCCGAACCGACGCTGACGCCGACGACACCGGCGAGCCTCCGCTGTCACAGGAGCGGCGCAACGGCCATGTCGGCGACGACGAGAGCGATCGGGGAGATGATGATGACGAGGATGACGACCACGACGACGAGATCGTCCCCGTCACGCATGCACCTCCGCTCGGTCAGGGCGCGACCCGCAACGCCTTTGATGTCCTTCGCGACGGCGCCGCCCATGCCGAATTTGCTCCGGCGCAGGATGCGGCGTCGCACGACAAGAGGAAGAAAAAGTCTGCGCTCGTCATGGGCGAGGCCGAGGAGTCGTCGGACGAGGAGTTTGGCGGCCGCCGTCGAGGCGACAAGTCGGGCCTCGGCCGCGTCTTTTCCGATGACGAGCGCGCCTCGGGCTCCGAAGGCGACTCGTCCGACGACGACGACGGCAAGGACCTCGAGGAGCTCGTCGACGACGAGCGCGAGGAGGACGAGGCGGTCAAGGACCGGCTGGCGCTCGAGGCGTACCAGGCCGACGTGGCCAAGCAGGACGAGGCGACGCGCCTGTACCACGAGAAGGCGGTGCGCGGCGACTTTCGACTGCGGCGCAAGGGGCGCGACGGGGCCGGGCTCGACGACTTCCTCGACGAGGATGCCGACGAGGAGGAGCTCAAGAGGCGCGCGGCGCAGCCCCGGGGTGGCTGGTACAAGAAGCGCAGGCTCGACGGCGACAAGGACGAGATGGACGAGCTGCGCGAGCTGGCCGAGGCGCAGCCGTTCCTCAAGGTCTACGAGGGGTCGCACAAGCCGCTCGAGGAGGGCGACTATGGCTTCCTTGCCGGGCGAGACGACGACGACGACGAGGATGACGACGACGACGACGACGACGCGGACCGGGACGAGGACAACGAGGAAGTGGAGGGAGTCGGGAGCGACGAGGACGACGGGGACGACGACGTCGCCACCGCCCGAGTCCGGACGGCACGGCACAGGGGCGGCGGCGACGACGACGTCATCACCCACGACGCCATCATGCGAGAGCTGCGCGAGCGGCGCAAGGCGCAGAACCGGCGCGGCGGCCGCGTCCTCTCGGACGACGAGGGCGATGGCGGCGATGACG